CCACTGTGTAAGATGGTTCTTCTGTGCATGCTCTTTTCAATTTTGCCAAGATAATAAGGTGCTGTCAGTGCCAACAGGTAGAAGCAGATTTATACTGGTCTCCAGTCACTTTGAAGGCCAGAATTATGCTGAGATGCTTGGGAGCACCAGCCTTGTAAGTGGCCTTTTGGAGGAGGAAAAAGCATAAAACGGGGTCATCTTGGCAGGGTGTGAAGGCTTTTTGTTTGGAAACTGCTCACACTAACGAAAGAGCTTTCCTTCCATCACGCCCTGCCTTGTTCTCTTCATTCTTGGTTGTTTTCCTGCATCATGTTATCTTCTGACCAAAGTCCTACCTGTTCAGGGCCTTGTACTGTGCTGCAGGCTGCTCTTGCGAAGTGAGATGGTGGTCAGATATCTAAATGAGGCTACTGACTTGGTTTTTTTCCTAGTTTGCGGGGGAAAAGTCCTTCCAGTGATTCTTAAACATAGATGGGATAAAGGTGGATCTCACTTGAATCATAATCTACCACGTGCTGATCTCTAAAAGGGGTAGGTTGTGGCAGGTTGTAGATGAGGAGACTTTCCCAGGTTGAAACTAAAGCTATTTTCAAAGACTTGAGGACGAGTCTGGTACCTGGTCAGTGAAATGGTGGACAAGACTGCGTTGGTACTTCGGTGAGCAATGTGCATGAGAAGGATGGTCCTAGCAGTACATGTGCAGTGATAGGCTCTACGTGAGTCGTTCCCACTCGGAAGGATCTTGCAGTTACAGTTCGTACGGTGCAGCTTGAGCTCTGGCATTTGGCTGTGCTGGGAGTGGGCTGGGAAAGGGGCAGAGAACAGAAGGCTGCTGCAGTACTGCACGGCAGAGCTTCCTGCAGCCTGCTCGCTCCCTCTCAGACAAATGGTAAAACTAAAGGTACAGCAATGGGTGGGAAGAATGACCAAGGAATAAGGCAGGCTTTGTAGAAGCAGAGAGTCCTCAGCTCAGGAGGGATGCCTGGAGGAAACAAAAGATAATAAATTGATGAGTGTGCTGGAAGAGGAGAGTCAGGAGCAGTGACCGACTAGTTCTGTGACAGCTGCATTGGTATGCTGACCTTGTATGAGGCAGTAAGTTTAAAGCACTCAGAAAGAAGTAGGTATTTTCAAAGCTTAATGATGAACTGTGTTTCTCCAAGGTGTATTGGTTGCCAAAATGAACAGGTTAAAAAAAAAAATAGATGTAGTGTATACAAAGCATCATAGTTCTGTACATTTGCTTTTGCTAAGCTTTGGTCAAAGACAGGTTATAGATGTAGAGGGACTTACGTTCTCGCATAGGACGGTAGTTCTTACATACCCATCTCTGCGTGTGTGTCTATATGTACATGCATATGTAGTGCCATATGTGTTCTCTGTATGACATACTCTGTGTGTATTCCTACTTCAGTGGTTTCCTTTCTTGCAGACCTTATGGAAGACAGTGCAGCCTTTTGGTAAGCTGCTTGTTTAAAATTAAAACCCTTGTTTTAGTGTAAGGAAAACAGTGGTTGCTCAGAAGTGTTGAACAAAGGACTTTGAAGATAGCTTAAGGAAGCTTAATGATATATTAACAAACTTAACCTCTTAGCAAAGGTATTAACAGTGAGGGGGAGAGGAAAGAATAGGAACATGTTTTGTCGTTCTCTTCAGGTGGACTAGTAATTTCTCTATTGCTAACCAACACCAGATAGGGCAAATGCTTAGTAACAGTCAAGACAATCTCTTTGTTTGCTGGGTTTAGTGCTTAATGTAGTTTCATATCAAGTGAGGCTGTGCAGGGCTGTACTTCCTGATGGACCTCCTGCAGTGCCATGAAAAACAAAGGGCTTTACTGATGCATTGGCTTCTTTCTTTTGAGGTTTGCCTCCAAGAGGTGCCCTTTGGGAAACCCACAGATATGAACCCTGATGCAAGCTCATAGGAGTTGGTTTTAGTTGCAGTTCACATGGAATTACTAGTTGGCGTGAGAACCCACAGCAAAGCTTGATTATACGTTTGACTAGGAGCTCAAGTATGTCTCTGAAAATTATGATTAATGATTCAAGGCTATGCCTTGCAAACACATACCCAGGTGAGTAAATAGGGCCAGTAAGCATGTAAAATCATGTATGAGTTTGTGAGAATGAGGAAAATATAAATATTGTCACATAGTTCAAAAAGGGCAAGTAAGAAAGGGTATATGCATGCCAGTAACTGGTAGTGGAAGTGGGTGACAAGGAAAAACTCTTTCCGAAAACGTAACTGGGGACAGAGACCCTTGTGAGAAGGTTGACCTTAGCAGCTGAGGCAGAGCTGGAAGGGAGTGACTGGAAGTAGTACTTATGGACCTCTGGAGGACCTGGTTTCCACAATTGCCTCCTGGTTTTGTTAAATGCCTTGGTAAATTCTTTAGGAGATTTCTGAGCTGACCTCTGGGGGTTCTTAAGAAAGGGTTTACGAACAAAAAACGTGAGCTGTGGTTTGCTGCCTTTGGATGCCTTGTGTGTATATATACACATACATATATACGTATCTAGGATGCCAGCTTACAGCCCAGAACAGGCCTGGAAGAGCTCAGAGAAGGGGCAGGTGGGTGGAGGGGCTGGCTCCTGCCTGAGAAGCAGACAGTGGGCTAGGGCTCTTCAGCCTGGAAAACAGGGGGCTCCCACATGCCTCGTCCCCTGTTTAATGAATCCCTAAATCCAGGAGGTGGCTGCTGATCCAGACCTCCTGCAGCCCCGGCAATGGGCAGGAGGCAGTTTTCTGCAGGGCAGGCAGCGGAGCTGTGTTGGGCTGGCAGCAGGCACTGTAGCTGTAGGGCAGCTCGGGGGGGCTGAGCAAACTCAGGGGGCGGACACGGGGCTCTGCTGGTTGCCGGGGCCCTGTCTGGCTTGGGCACCACATGGTTACCCTGCCATGTGCAAGGGTATGCAGGTATACACATGTTCTCTCTCTGGCCTTGTTCTTCCCTGGGAACTGCTATTTTGGGGATGATTTTCTGGGTTAGATGAACATTAGTGGCCCATTATGTCCCAATTCTCTAGTTTGTTTCATTGAAGTGAGTCGTAGGGCTTGCTGCTTGCTTTGTACTGCCTCTCTGAAGGGAGAATTTCCTTGCTGCAGACTTGGTGGAGGCATTGCAGTGCATTATGATGGTTAAAGAGCCTCCAGTTAAACGTATGTTGTGTTTGTCCATTTTAAAATGAGCAGTTAAGTGGTCTGGCCAGCCTGGCAATGGAAAAAAAAATATAAAATTCCTCTCATCCCTGGCATTGATTAAACAGTTAAAATTCTTGTCAAAGACATTAAGAAATATCATTTGAAAGGTACCAGCACTGCCTTAGCAGTTAACTGGGGCTGTGCGTGGCTTGCACAGCAAGAGGAGCAGTTAGAATGAATTCAGATGAATGACAACTGCAGGCTGGTGAGGCCTCGGAAGACTCAGCCTGCCGAGACTGAAGGGCTTCTTGGTGTCATTGTGGGAGGGACATCAGCCCTGTTCCCTTGGAGCGTGCCTCTGGAGTCGTTTGGAATCAGCAGTGCTTTCCTGGCCATCATGCGTGAGCAGGCTGGCTGTTACTGTGGGAGTGGGACGGCACTGCTTGGGTGGGAGAGCCCTGTGGTGCCTGCGCAGCAGTGAGCACCGTGACAGCAACACTCAGGCAGGAGTGATGTGTCCATAAGCAGAGAACCTGGGGATCTTTCCTTGGAGAGGAACAGACGGCACTCTCTGAGGTGATGAAACAGCAAGCCATAAACAAACAAAGCTCACTTCAACACTGTCAGGGACTGCAGCAGCTAAACATAGCCCCAGAGGCTTCACTTACTTGGCTTCTGCCTGGCAGATGACTGCTCTGGACTCGCTAAAGGGTTACAAAGGTGAAATTCTTTAATCCGTGGCATGTTAGAGCTCAGTCTAGATGTGCAAATGGTCTCCTCTGGACTCAAAATCTGCACATCCCTGAGAGTGGGTGCACACTACTTAGCATCCAGGTCTGTCTAGCCCAGCTGCTTGACCTTTCCAAAGAGGATCCTGGAGTGAGCCTCAGCAGAGGCAAATTATGCTCCTGGTATTTGTTGCTGAAGCCTGAGGTGTGTGGGAGGAGGAGTGCTGCACAGGGTCACCCTTATGCACCCTGTAATGAAAAAAGGAAATAGCAGAGTACAGGTACTTCAGTCAGGATGGTTCCTGAATACATGGTATTAAGGACACTTCTCTTCTTCAGGGAGAACCTTCAGAGACCTAACATAAGAAATGGTTTGCTTACTCATGCTGCTTAGAGGTTAATTAAAGTTGTATTATTGTGAAAGTCTTGTGTTTTGATGGCTGTACCATGAGTAATTTGTTAGATAGCTTTATGAACATCAACTCTCTGAGGTGCCATTAATGTTGCTTTTTGAATGAGACTGAGTCCAAGGTCCTGATTGCTTGTGGCTACTTAATGTTGCGTATTACTGGAAGAATAGGCAATGAGATGGGTTACAGTGTCATCAGGAAATTACTCATATCCAGTCTTGCTTCAGAGTGCTGGTCTAGATGCTTGTAACAATTAGCAGAAGTGTAATGGACGTTTGTGTTCACTCTTTCTCCTGTCAAGGCTATCAAACATGTCTGGAAAAGGCTGCAATTCTGCATGTTTGTTTTTATAATATCAACAGAAACATGAAGTAATCACCTCTAAATCTCTCTTAAAAGCAATTTAAGCATGAGTGGGAGTGGGTTTGCTTTGCAGGTGCAAGACTTTTAGATGTCTTTGGGTGAATAGTTGATGCATTACTGGAAAGCAGCAAGTTGCTCTGCTGCTGGACTCATGTCACTCAAATAACTTCAGCTCAGTCTCTGCCCCTGTGGTAGGGTTAAAGATAAATTCACTTCTTGATCAAATATTTTGAGGTCTGCTTCTTACACTTAATACAGGCCCCTCCGGAGAGTAGTCTGAAATGGGAATTATATGGTCATGGACGAAACAGACAAAAGCAAACCAGTTCTTCTGTTTGTTTTCCTTCTTCTGCAGGACAGATTGTGCATCCCACATGAACTACGAAAACCCTCCACCTTACCCTGGCCCGGGCCCAACCGCCCCTTACCCACCGTATGCACAGCAACCAGGTGGTCCTCCTGGCCCATACCCAGGCTATCCCCCCGGACCCACTGGGCCATACCAGCCAGGCCAGCCAGGCTATCAAGGTTATCCACAGTATGGATGGCAAAATGCTCCTCCGCCGCCTCCAGGACCGGTGTATGCAGATGGGCCTAAAAACACAGGTATGCCTAGCAGCCGTGGCGCCACGTAATTGTGACCCGTTCTGGTTTGCAAATGTATAAGTACATGTTGGCCTTAATGTGGTTACCAGTGTCTGACCATAATGGGGCTGGTGGAGGGGGAGACTTCTTTGAAGTAGCGATACTCTTTATAGCCTATTCTCTTGCTTCATTTTGCTGTTATGTCTTTAACATATGTTTCTGCCTGTGGGAAGATACTGCTGGACATCCTTAATGCTGATCCCTTAGGGGAATCCTTATGCTGAGGTTGTTATACATGCTTTTTGCTGGCTTTAGATTTGCCACAACTCTCATTCTGTCTGTCTTTTGGTTGATAAGTTTCAACCAAAGGCTGCGCAGTTAAAGCTTGTAATATTCAAATATACAGTTCCTACTGAATCAATGCGCATCAGTTTTCTTGAGCCCATCAATATCTATCCGAGTTATCTAATAGTGCCATTGGAATAATCCTGGGGGTTTGGGTTTTTCAGAAGCTATTATTGTTCTGTGGAAAAACACAGATTGCCAGGGAAGGGAAGGAGGGCATAGTAACTTATCTTGGCAGCTAGCTGGTCCATCTGTGTCCCATGTCCTGTCAATATGGTATGCTGCTTTATTCTGACACCCTTAGCTGTCGTGGAGCTCGCTGCAGTGCTTGGTGCAGGCCCGAGTTGTCAGAGGAGGGCCGAGAAGATGATTAAGGGACCAGAGCATCTTAATATGAGGAGAAGCTGAGGGAGATGGGACTGTTCAGCCTCAAGAAGAGAAGGCTTGGGGGGGCCTATCCATGTGTATAAGTACCTGATGGGAGGGAATGAAGAAGAGGGAGCTGGACTCTTCTCGGTAGTGTCCAGTGACAGAACTGGAAACAATGAACACAAACTGAAACACAGGTTGTCCTTTTGAACACAAGAAGACACTTTTCTACTGTGAGAGTGATCAGACACTGGCACAGGTTGCTCAGAGAGGACGTGGAGTCTCCATCTGTGGAGATACTCAAAACTTGATGGGACAATGCCCCTGGGCAGCCTGCTGTAGCTGATCCTGCTTGAGCAGGTGGGTCGGATCAGATGATCTCCAGAGGTCCCTTCCAAACTCAACAGCTCTGGGATTCTGACAAGGCTGGGTGTGGTCCCTGCCTTTTCCCCATTGGAAAGTGGAGGATTTAGCTTGGCTTTTTTTGCTTTGTCTTGCTGGTGGGGAAGGCTGCCAACAGGCTTTGGTTGTAAAATATCTGCTTATATGTCTTGGGGTGTGCTCACCCCCTGACTATCAGTACAGGGACTCATGCTGTCATGCCACCTTCAGTGCTACCTTTTAGGCTTCTCCATTGATGAAGATACTCATCCAGATTGGGAAGCCAGAAACCATCATCGCCTGTCTTCCTCTTTTGCAGTGAATATCACAAACAGAGCTATTGAGAAGAGTCTTAAGTACTTATAGCTGTTCTGGCTATCTTGGAGTGGTGGAGGATGTGGCCAGAGCTGTCAAAGGGACTGTTCTGCAGGAGGGAGCGCGGGGAGTGCTTCTGTAGAGGCACTGTGCTTTAGGTGGGACCTGCTCCCAGGGAGGAAAGGGTATTCACAGTTTCTATGTGCTTAGTGTGTCTGGCATAGTCATGGACAGACTAACATGGGGTGGAAAAAAATGAGACTAACATACCTCAAATCGAAACCTAGGTCAGTGCTTTACAGCAATGCAAGTTGTTAGCACTTTGGGCACTGCTGCTGTAAGGACCAACTGATAAAGTGGGTACCAAAGCTGACATCACTTGGAAAGTTGTCAAGACTCAGACAATTCCCATAAGGCCTTTACCACTATGCGAAGCTGTCTTTGGCCGTTACACATTAAGGTCATTCTCCACATACTGTTGTTGCCATGGCTTGGGACAACGTGCACTTGCACTTGGAGCCTGCTCAGGACTGAGGTCTATACACATTTGCTGCATTTTTGAGATAACTGCCTGCTGTGCCCTTCTACCACTTTGTGTGACTCTGTGTGCACTGTGACACAGGTCTTTTCAAAGCCCTTATTTTTTGGGAAGCTGGAGCTTGAGAAGTTCCTGGTTTTTTTCCCCAGTATTATTGGCTGTAAATGGTGGACTACTGGACCAGTGTATATACAAGCATCCCTGGATTTATATCTGATATAAGATGTCAGTGATATTCTAGTGTGGGTTTGCCAGAGGACCCAAACATAAGCAGTGAACTACGTGTGTGAGTGAACAGGAACCTGAATGTGTGCAAGTCATGAGTTCAACTTCCTATGTCAAAGAGTGAAAACCTCAAGAGTTTTCCTTTGAGAAGGAGGGAGCAGCAGCATGGTGATACTTCCCGCCACTACCACCACATGGACTTGAAGTATAATCAGAGCTTTCCCTGGGAAAGCACATAGTTTTGGGATGGCTAACAAGCATTTCTCAGTACTGAGGGAGGAAAAAAAATTTCCTTGTATCCCATGTACAATATCTCTGGTTAGTGCAAGTGTCACTTTGCCACTTTAGCCACAAAAAAGGGATATGCCAGCAGAAGCTGAAGGGAGAGAGGGTCTGCTGCTTTGGACAGTCTGGTTTTGAGCCAGATCTGCTGCCTTGGAGGCTTAAAGGAGCTCAGACTGGATGGGGGAACTGATGACACTGAACATCCTCTGCTCAGGTCAGGTCTCCACTTGCAAACCTGTGGGCCAGCACAAATGAGTGGGCTGAGAAATTGGAGAGGACAAGTGGCTAAATTTGAGTATGTCTTTCACTGAGAGGCCAGGCTTAGACTGCAGAAGGAATCGTTTTGTTGTTAAACCTAAGCTAACACAACTGCAGTTCTGCAGAAGCAGCACCCTCACCCACAAACCAGAGTTCTTCTGGTAAGGTCTGTCTTTGAACTTCCTTCTTGTCCGTTCTCTGAACCCACCTTGGAAGCCTCCAATTTGCATTGCTTTTGTTGAAGTGGATGTAATGTGCGAAACAATTTATTAAAGTATAAAATAGTCAGGGCTATAACTTTGTGTTTGCAAGAGCTTTTCCTTTTTCTTGATGCTCCTTCTGTCAAATACCTTTTTCCCTGCCTTGCTTCTTTTTGGCCAAGTCTGTCAAAATGCAGCCTGATGCTTGTCCTGTGCCACTTTAACAGAAGTCTTCCGAGACAGCTTTCAATGAGGCTTTGTTTAATGATCACCTCCAGGAGTGTCTAATATAGAATGGATATCCCTAAAAAAGATAATTTTTTAAAAGTCTGTTATACTAATGCTATATATCTGTTGGTGTGGCTGAACCTCTAGTATAAAAAAAATTGACATCTAAATTTAATCAAGTCATTACAGTCTGCCTAGCTGGTCTCATGGGATTTAATGTGGCTTATCAGTTCTCGTGGTGTTTCCAAGCAGTTATCTGGGAAGAGCTACTGCATGGCGTTTTGCTCTTCTGGGTGATTTTGCTTTATCTAATGAATTAAGCTACTCCAAGTATTTCTGAACATTAGTATTTCTGAAGAAATGTGTGTCCACACTGAAAACTAGGAAATTTGCTATACTTTAAATTTTACGCTTTAAGTTGTTTACTGTGTAGGCAAACTGCAAGTAGGCTTTTATGTTGTGCATCGTAGCCAGTGTGCTGATGTGTGGAAGTACTTATGCATTGTATTTTGGTCTTGAGTGGATCACAAAGGTGGAAATAATTACTGTAGAGCTTTCAAAATCTGACCGTAAAGTAGCATTTCATGGTGACAGTATTTTTTGATCTATCGATTTGTGGCCTGTCTGGAGTAGCAATGTCCAGTTGGTCTTTGGAGAAGAAAAAAACCCTCGTATCACTTGCTGTCTGTATTAAAAAGAAAACTGCATCTGAGGTGTAACGGGAAAACAGCTTAAGCTTAGTACTGTTTTTGCTACCCACACTGCAGAAGAGCTTGTGAACTGCTGAGTCTTGTTTCAAAGGCTGCTATTGATAGACTCTTCAGGTTGAGCAGTGCTGGCGGGAGTTACTCTGCCTGTGCGTGGCATTTGTGCTGCAGCCATGCTTCTCCCCAGCCACAGCACCTGCTCCTCTGCGTCCTCAGGAGATGGGAGCTGTGAGCCCAGGCTGGAGAGTTTGGTCCCTCTTGTTGGGGTCACACTTGGCAAGGTAGGCAACATCTAGGCTGGAAAGGGAAAGTGGGAGCAGGGACAGGTATCCTGGGAAAAGTATAGGGGTGCTGCCCAGTTGTGTAGGGATGGAGTCGGGAAGGCCAAGGTGCGTCTGGGGTTGAACTTCGCATGGTATGCAAAGACTAATAAGAAGGACCTCTCCAGGTCTGTCAAAGGAAGGTCAAAGAAAGTGTACCCCCCTCTATAGCAAGACTGGGAAACTGATAACAACAGACAAGAAGAAGGCTGAGGTACTCAACAAATTTTTGCTTCAGTCTTCACTGGCAATCTCTCTCCCCACACTTCTCAAGTGGATGGACTGCAAGGCAGGGACTGGGGGAGCATAGTCCCTTCCAACGTAAGAGAAGGTCAGGTTTGTGACCACCTGAGGAACCTGAACATACAGAAATCTATGGGACCTGAGGAGGTGCATGCCAGAGTCCCAAGGGAACTGGCTGAGGTAGTTGCCAAGCCACTCTTCATGATAGTTGAAAACTCATAGCAGACAGGTGAAGTCCTTGGTGACTGGAAAAAGGGAAACATTGCACCCATTTTTAAGAAGGGCAGAAAGGAGGACCCTGGGAACTACTGACCTTGCAGTGACAAGCAGTGTCCCTCAAGGGTCTGTGCTGGGACCAATACTGTTTAACATTTTTATCAATGATATAGACAGGGGGATTAAAGGCACCGTCAGCAAGTTACCGTCACAGTCAGCCAAGCTGTGTGGTGTTGTCGATACACCAGAGGGTGTCATCTCTGGATGACATCATCCATGTCATCCAGAAGGACCTGGACAGGCTGGAGAGGTGGGCCCAGGTGAACCTCATGAGGTTCAACAAGAACAAGTGCAAGGTTCTGCACCTGGGCCAGAACAATCCTTGCCATCA